ACACACTGCGCAACGTGCGAATTCGCTCATTACGCGCGGCTAATACTGTTAGCTCACAATGGAATATAGTCGCGCACGCGACTGCGTCGACGTTCTCTTCTTTCTTGCGGCGGTGTGCACAGACTTTCTCGTTTTGATCAATCGGCACTTTTCACTTTTCATTCTTTCTGCCGTTGCGTCATCCAATCATGCGGGATATTGTTTTTCTCGCGGGATTCATTGATTATCGTCTGGGAAAAAAGGTCGGACAGTTTTAACCCGAGGCGTAAACGTCACGCGTTAATTGTTTATTAAAAGCGGCTCCAGAGTGAACAGAGTTAATTGCAATTTTTACACCGCGATGTAATTTAAGATTGCATTTTAATGATAACGAGGATCACGGACAACGTGAATTATGGAATTTCTTTTTATTCGGAGCTACTCTGCATTTTCATCATTTCCGCTTTTTACATAAAACTATGACTAATGAGGCTTACCTTTGTAATGATGAGATAGATGGTAATGCCGAGAACTCAATTCGCATGAGTATAAGCATTTCCTATAATTTTTATAAATATTTTATCAAGTGCACTCGAAGAAAACAAGAAGAATTCTCAACTAAAAGTCATCTTACAAAATTCTATCATTTACGAGTTTCAGAGCCTGTTTTGCAATAGAATGAAAAGGACGTGAGCAGTAACTCGATTTACAGTTTATGTAAGGGAAATTGACAGAATTGCAGTGGAAGCAAGAAAAACAAGTCGTAGCAGTTTTGAAGCTGAACGAGATAAAAAGAGACAAAAGACTAATAAGAGCTATTTGTATTCGCAAGTTGACGGTTGCCCGCGCGGAAAAACTGCGAGAATGGACTGTAAGCTAACAGTTTTCTCCGCGCATTCATAGCAGAGCCGAGTCTGCATTCTTAGGGCGCTTTTTTGTCTCGATGAACAGCTCGGCATGATATGAGCGGCTATTTGCGCAAAGGTCTTTCATTTTGCCGCAGCCTAAACAGATTGCAAAACCCACGGGCGATGACAATGGAACTGGAAAAAAACTGGGCGGGGCGCCTCTGCTCACCGAGTACGTACCTGAAGGGGGGGGGGGGGGAGAAGGCAGCCTTAACGTGTCTCTGACCCGATTCGCAAACGCTTTGACCTCGATCGAGAGACGCACAAAAAAAGTACCAAGCAATAGCCGCGGGCGATTTATGTTCGCCCGTGTCGGCACGCACTCATTGTGCACGGATCACGTGCATTTTCGACGATCGAAACTATCTGTGTGTTTTTATAGACGACATTGCTTAGTGCGATTAACGCTACTCCGGTTTATTTTATTATTCATCACGATAAGAAAAAGAATAATAAACGCGTTGCGGCTGAACGATCAAGTTAACTGTCTACTCGTTATAAAAGCAAAAACAAACGGAAGAAAGCTGCTACGGAATAATGTATTGACTGTTGAACAATGCTTTCAAGCCGCCGAAATTCAATGGGAACAGCAGAGCTGTTGACTTTCACAAACTGCTTGCGATATTTGTTTGTCGGTTCGAACGGAGAAACAGAAGCATCAGCAAGGCTTTTCTTTTTTGCAATAACACAAACTCAACATATACGTTGTAGCAATACTCTCGTTCAGCTCGGCGATCGTATACAAAAGCATCGCGCGTCAAACATTCCGATCAACGCGCAGCTCGGCATCGAAATTAATTTCCAATGTAATCGGCTCGAATTCCTCTCTCTCTCTCTCTCTCTCTCGCTCTCTATCTATCTGGCCTATGCGCGACATGTTTGCGGGCACATCTGAAAAGAATTTGCACGCGGAAATTCCGTGGAACGATGAGTTCACGTGGACCGGTGTTTCGCACTGAGAAGACGTGTTTTCCCAGAGTTCGTTTCCCTTACGTTTGTCGTACTACGGTCTAACGGTAAGCCGAGCGCAACGCGTCCGATCGTTTGTTATGAATGACTGGTATGCCATGCTTTTTTCCTCTGCTTCACCATCAAGCTTATTTTCTTATTATTTTTTCTAACATGTGGTACTCATTAGAAATCGCCCGATACCGTTAAAGTCGACCGCGCTCCGGCTGATTTGGAACATTAGCTTCGATGGAGTTGGCAGACTTGCAAGTTCGTATTGTTCAGTTGGAACTGATAATCGGATATCGCACGCGCCACACACGGTCATGCTATACAAAGCTGACATTGATGATAAAGAAAACATTAGACAGTTACAAGGAACATTAAGTTATTTTAGAATACTTTCCAATGAAAAAACGATAATTCGCGTAGTTTTGTCACTTCCGCCATTTCCGCACGCGGCCGGTACGGTTTTTCGACACCGTTCAAACGTAAAAGCCTTCATTTTGAAATTCCAAGATCGAGTTCCCACGCGCGAGATGGATCGCACATAATTAGCTTCAATTGACCGTGGAAAAGATAAAAAACACACGATATTTTCTGGGCGATATACTTACGACTGCGTAGGAAGCAGCCGTGTAAAGTCCTTCAGTCCTGCGCGCACGAATCTCAACCAGGGTTGTGCAGAGTAAACGGAAGGATGTCACGCTTCTAATGTGACAAAAAGCTTTGGCTTCTTTGCAGCGACGACGAGATGAGCGCGAAGAAATTTTTCTCGCTACACGCAGCAGCGCGGTAGCGAAGCATTCAGCCCGGTTGGCCCCGCACGCGTCTCAGAGCGAAAAAAAAGGTGAATAAAACTCGCAGAAAGCCTCAATGTTAATTGAGTAGGAATCGCGGATCGCGTAGGAGGATGCGGGATGTAAAAAGCGAGCCGGTGCACGGCACATGCAGTCATGAAATTGCGTGGTGATTTCATCCGGCCACTCGACAGCGCGGCTTTTTTTTCTTTTTTTTTTCTTTCCGTTTCATTTTCACCTAATGATATGCGCGTGTGTGACTGCGAATGACATATTCCTGCTTGGTTATGGAAATTGACGTCGCGTTTACATTCGGAAGATTCATTGGCTCATTGGCATGCCGAGCAAGTATTTAATTGGCAAATAAGCCTGGGGAAAAGTCGACGAACGTTGGAAAAAAAAATGAAGGCACATTGAGTAATGGTTGCCGCAACAACGACACAAGCGGAGCGTCCGTAGAGTGAAAATGTTATATGTATGGCCTTGCGGAGAAAGTGAAAAATTTAGGTCAAAGTTGACATAATAAGACGGGCGGTACCGCATACCTTACCATATATACCGGATATATTTAACTTAACATACAAACATATGTAGAATGCACATTATTTAATCCTCTTTCGCCGCATGTAAGGTACACTTTTCATGTATCACGAGCTCCCCCGCCTCGTAAATTCAAAGTATAGGTTTCTTGAAATAACAGATTTCGTAGATTTTTTTTGCAAGTTAAATAGTGGTGTGTATTTCACGGAGGCTTCCCAACAACGAGTACCTGCTCTTACACAACCACGCTTTTTCGAACATCCTGCTCTTAATGAAAGTTTTATTTGTGCTGGAATTGAAATGTTTCGAGCAAAGATGCCATTCCATAAAAGGTATAATCTAATTAATCGTTGCACTTTCGAAGCCTTGGCACAGAGAATGATAATTAGCAACAATGCCCTGCCCGCTGGAATAATAAAAGTACAAATGAATAGGCGAAAGTTGACAACATCCGGCACTGTCAATGAGAAAAGAAAGGCGGCTCTGTTATAACAAACATAGCTTTTTGTTCCAAAGCACAGTGGCAAACCGATCGAAGAGTACATAGATGACGCCACGAAAATTACTTTCCGTTTGTGCTTTGTACTTAGCATTCGATGACCGGCACTAACTGCACGTGTAAAGTTTGGCGGTGTATAATGGGAATGATCAATTGCACTGGGTAGAAAGTGAGCGTTGCGGAGAAATTTTCGCCTGGCAATCAAGGCTAAGCTATTCGTGTAAAAAAGCTGCAAAGTATGATTTTGTTGCATGATCGCACGCAAGTACACTGCACCAGCAGTTCGACTGAAATCCTTCCACCGTGGGTTCTTGGAAAAGACATTCGTTTGCATTTCAAAAAAGATACTTTGGTGCGAAACGATAACAAATCTTTCGTCACGTCGACGCTGATAAATTAGCTGCTTCATTTCGTTTTCAATGATCTGCCGTAAGCCTCTTTTACGAGTGAGCGACACTTGTCCGGCTCTTCCAGCATGCGTACAGAGAAAACGGGAAATTGTTCGAGCTACCTCACGTGTGTATAATTCAATTTACGAAAGCATACAAGCAACATGACTTATCATTTTTTCAACATTTTACGTCTTGCTTTTAAGCACTGGGCGTAAAACAGCTTCGCTCGAGACTTGACTGCAATTGAAGGCCGGGAGCAGCCACTTTGAGCTATAATTCTTAGATTAACTCGAAGATGATTTTCGCGTCGATACAAATCCACTATGAGACGAGGGTAATTTGGATTGGGTTTGAAGTCAATATGCCCGCGATACGTGTCTAGCGCCTATCAATAAAGAGCTGCGGCCGACGACAGGACAATGCAGCAATCAGTTTAAGAAAACGACAACAGACCGATTGCGCCATCGAGCGAATGCGATTTAAAGATTTGACTACTGCGGTAAGTGGAGCTCGCGCGATCGGCCAAGGTTATATAAATCAAGCATTACTCGTCGCATCACCGCAGAAGCAGCGTGCACATATAACAACAATAAAAAAATATCCATAAAGGTTGCCCAAGACTTTCGAAAGTTGTACACACGCCGCGCTCTCCCTCCGCTTCGCTGTACACATACCGCGGCGTTCCTGCGCGAAAGAGAACACGCCAACACTCGATCCTGCAGCAACGGCAGCAGACAGGCACTGTATAACTACATCTTTAGGAACTTTCAGCACGTATAAGTTATAGGCACGCACCGTAAGGGAGAGAAGCAGAGGAAGAAGCAGAGGAAGAAGACGAAAAAGAAGAAGAAAAAGCAGAAGAAGAAGAAGGGAGCAGTCGAAAGAAGAGCAAAAGAGAGCGGAGCTACATTTATGGCAGAGAAAGGCTAATTACCAAGGATTCGTCCCCATTGTCAGCGCTCATAGCCCAGAGGATGACGGGAGTTGCTGCTCGTCGTCGTCGTCGTCGTCTGTGTTCTTCTACGTGCTGCTGCTTGCCGCCGTGTCCTGGCCCAAGTCATATTATTGACGGCCGCAGTCAAGTCGCATTCACGATTGCAACCACTCCGATCAGCAGCTTCTCACTTTCGGTCGAGCAACAGCATCTCTCTGTCGGTCGCAGGCTGCATGCTCAACACCTGTCGTGCGCGCCCAGGCATCCCAGCAGCAGCAGGACAGCTATCGCACGTTGCTGGCCAGACACGCGCACTCACGTTCACTGCTCATACCACCTGCGTCTGTCTACAGGCTCGTATTCGCAGACTCGGTCCTCCTCTCGTGTGCTAGAGGTTAGAAAGGTGTGTTTACCTGGCGACACGCACTCGCCAGATGTACCTGGGCCACAACTCTGTTGTTCGCTGTTTCTAGACTCATGGAATCGTAGACCAACGACTTCTTGCAAACGCGGTTTCTGTGTTCTACGCCAGACTCGCGGAGAAGACGACGTGATTGCCTGACTACGCTCGGTGCGAGCGACGACTGAAAACTTCACGTTCACAGGCTTACCTTCCTCCTCGCACGCTCGACGCCAGTCTCTCTCTCTCTCTCTCTCTCTCTCTCTCACTCACTCACTCTTCGCTCTTTCTCTTTCTCGCGCGCTCCTTCTACTACTCCGCTCTCGCGGTTTGACTGTCAGAAGTGTACGCTGCCTGCACACAGGTTGTACACACAAGCACCTTGGCTGCTTCTATATTGCTCCTTTCCGCTGCCTTACAGTATCACTCCGAAATCACACTTCCATATGGTATAATCATTGATTTGAGTACGAATCACTTATCCAACTACTATGCAAGCTTTAATACCATACAATTTGGCTGAAATTGTTTTAATAACTAAGCATACACATAGTTCGCAATATTTAACTTGTAGAAGCAGCCTTATGGAGCGTTTATACAGGCCGCTTTCCAGTCACGAGAGAGAAGAGAAGCCTATACGAAGGAATCTTAAGCACTCGTTGCTCGCGACCTGTATTATTGTTGGCGTCGATGTGTAGGTGTGTTTTCTAGTATAGTGTGTAGAATTCCCGATCGACGCGACACCTGACGCTGCTACTGACATACATTTGGTTACATATGTATCTAGCAGCTGCGATAATACTAAATCGCATATTTTTTTTAGTACGGTTACGAATGTTCATATTTTGCCCGCTTGTAATTGTTATGGTAAAATAACGTAAAAAATACAGTTATGATAATCACCTACTCTTACTTGCTTGTTTATGAGACATACTCGTATATATGCCTAATATATTTTATGAATGATTCATTGAAGTTTGAAATAACTATGAATTAGCATGAGACAATTTAATTAAAATTGTTAATTTGTGAACAATCAGAAGTATAACTTCAAAATATATTTTCTACTTTTTAATAAACACTTACAAATCATGCGATTGAGGACATAAATTACTGATATCTAAGATGTAATTTTGACTTATGAGTTCTTCAGCATCATAAGATTATAAATTTTTACTAAAGAGAAGATTGATTTTCTAATCGTAAAAATAAAAAATAACGTTTGACTTCGTTGACTAAAGTCTTTTATAAAGAAAGATTTGATTTTCATAGAAGTTATTTTATTATGACTCATTTGAAGAAAATTTTAGTTATAAGTTATACAAATCACTGTACTGAAAAGTTTCTGGAAAAATGATAAGTAATTCTGTCAAATATCCTACATTGGCAATGATTACCAATATCTTGTTCCTGATTGTCAACTCTTCTAGAGATTTTTTTATTACAGCAAACATTGAAGTATTCCGTATGGAGGACAGACGGATAAGGATAAGGCAAGGTCATTGCACGCAAAACAATTTAACAAAAAAGACAGACACGTGCACTTTTTCACAACATTTAATAAAACACTATAAACTATGAATGCTTTTTTATTCAAATAATCTGAAAGTTACTTAAATAGGTTTAGTGTATATGTAATTTTTATTTTATATTTATATGTCGTATGGAGGTGTCATGTCCCTCGCATCGTATAATAACATATATGATGCAGAAACTCGATTTAAGTCGCGCATCGACAAAATCGAACCAAAAAACGATACTTCACTGATTAACCCCTCAATATTTTTACATAAATTGCGACAAAAATCGCATCGCGCAGGCATCTTGTATAGATACAATTAAAAAGACTAACGGAAGTGTTTCGCCGGGAAAAACACTTGGGAACTGACACGTCCAATATAATATATAATATATATTCATATATAATATCGTGTATATAAATTTAACACTATCATATCATTATTTCATCTTATGAATTAGTACTTGAATTAATCAAGGATTTTAGCGATCAACGTCCCGGGATGATATATATATATTCGCTCAAAAACGTTTACTATTTCTGTGCTCAAAATAAACAAAGCAAGGCAGCCAATCAATCTTTCGATTAAAACTTTACATTAATTACGTAATGTGTAATGGCACACAGAATGCACCAGTACAATAATTTTTGTTGATTCAATTATTCGCTGTTTGAAAAGTCAATAAAACTTTCCATTTCTCTGGTCCTCTAAATTTTTTAATGTGGGTTGATGGACCATATTAGTACCTTGAAAATATACTTGTAAACTGCGACACCAAAATGAAGAAAGTCCATATCTTTTGGAAGTCTTTCCATCAAAATCTTTCGTAAAAATTTTAATAATTTTTTTTAATTATAGTCGAAATACAGATTGAATGTATCAATGTATTTCTTCAAAAATAATACTTAGAAATTATAAAACTCAAAAAAACAAATTAACAACCAATAACAGTAGATACAACGTTTATTCGAGTTTTGCGATGAATATGCTTAATTGCATTCTAATCTGATCCCATATTTTTGGTCACAACCTCGTTGGATTTTTCTTCTGTTTTTCTACATTATTTTATATATTATATTGATACTCATTATTATAAAGTTGTAATTTCATATTTCTAAACGTTTTTTTATTATTGGAAAGTATTTCCATCAAAAACATTCTAAAATTGCTCATTATGGTTGTGCTTTATGTGGCTTTACGCGTATCCGTCAAGTTTTATATTTAATTCGATATATACGTCGTCCATCCATCCCGGGCGGACGCATCTTTTAAAAACTCTTGAAAAATCTTGAAAAATTTTTCACTGCACATTACTTTAACATTCACAATTTTTAAACTTCGGTAATTAATTGAATTTTATTTAATTGCTTTTCTTTACCACTATTCACAAAGTAATTACATACTTTCATCTTGTCAATTAAAATTCTAAAATATAGAAAATTCGCGCAAGTAAATAACTTTTCAAGATTTCCAGGTGACTGTGCCCTCAAACACATCATTTTTGAGCATTATAATTAGCTAAAAATTTATCTATGCCTGAGGTTTCGCGATCGGTAGTTGGCAGCGCAGTGTTTTAAAGACTTCCTCGATCATCTTTAAATATATTTCGCGCCCCAAATTCATATTGACAATTTTTAATAGAAAAAACATATTCCAGGAATGTCTCAAATAGATTCATTGATCGATAACGCCATACACGCAATGTACAAACAATTATTAGCACCAGCTGGTGTTCGTATGTTGGATATCACGAGCTTTTATACATTAGATCTCTGTTTGATTAAAATTAGTGACAAGCACTTTTCAGTATTAAGCACAAAATCCGACAATATTGCACTAATTTATCAGTTAAAACTGAATGCTAAAGGTGCATTCAACGCAAATACTCGATTTACAAGAATAGGTAAGAAAACAGCATTCATTTAAGAGTAATTAAAAAAACGTTCAATGGTTACAACGTTTGATAGTTAATTGCATCGTTTAAACAAATTCTTTCGAGACATCCTGAAATTCAAGAGTTTTCTATCTCTAATTAGCTACCTAAGCGGACACAGTTTCAACCATGGACTTTTTGATGATTTCTCCAAAATTTTCATCGCAATCCTCTTCGTCTAGCTGCTCTGGCTGCCCAGTCACAACCGTCTCGTTTTTATCCATGTCCATTTTTGTGGCACCGTAAGCACCGTGGAGTTGTTGATTTTGCTGTTGATCAATAATATCGCCGTAGTATGAATATCTACTAGACAAAAGCTCGGAAAATGATTCAAGTTTTCCAATTTGTTGAACGACCGAGTTCATCGGTTGAATGGAGTTAAGGTTGGTATATTGCGAGCCTGACAAGTCTTCGTGGGCGAAAGGCGCATCGTATATAACGTTATTGTGTTGTTGCTGGTCTTGTTGTTGGTGCATGAGAGTGTGTGTTTGATGACAGTTACTGGCGGAACTTGAACTTGAATCTTGAGAGTAGGAGCCGTAGTGCGAGAAACCGGGGTTCGAAGTGACCGGCTGGAATTGCGGTTGAAAGGGTGACCTGTAAGAATACATATCGTTAGTTTGCCAACCGATCTCGTTGTTTCTAACAAACACAAAGTATAAATTAGTTCAACTTACAACAAAAGCTTATTATTGAATATGCTTCTGTTATTATTTAGTTAAAAATTTGCCTCAAAAGTAAAACACTTGCAATCGAAGAAAAACGCTATATTTTAGATTAAATGAACATAAAAAATGTCGCTTTGATCAAATTGGTAAATGCTATTTTTATCTCGAGATTAATTGGCTTATTTGAACAAAGGTTACATAATCTTGAATAGACAACTACGTAGTACGTATTGAGTCTCAGTGAAGGCGTGGCATTTCGTGGCAAAGCATTTGAAATAATGAGCTCGCCTTTGAACAAATCAATATTACATCTGCAATGTACAACGTTTTTTTGTTTCCTCGTGGGCCAATTGTTAGTATGGGTGATTGTTAGTAGAAGCGAGATTAGCATGAATGGGCAGTCACCTCGAGGTCGATGGAAGGTTCTGATAGGTCTCATAGTCGACGTAGGGATTCTGCTGAAAGCCCATACTAGGCCCTTGGCCTCCATAATGCTGGAAACTCTGAGCGAACTCAGAGTGCAACTTTCTCTGCTGATTCTGCCCGTTGTCGACAAGGCAATCGTCGGTCGAATAGCACTCGTCCCTCATGGTGTAGAGATCGAGGCTATCCGTCCGCGTGCCGTCATGGCTATCGTAGTGGAGGCCGGTGAAGCCGCCGGCGAGGCAGTCGTTCTGCAACTCAACGTTCGACGACATTGGCACTGCTAGTCGATTCTGATGATGAGAATGGTGAGTGTCCTGGTGTTGCTGCTGATGATGCTGGTGCTGCTGCTCCTCATCTCGGTGGGGCTTTTTCTCGAGCTCCAGACGCATTAAGGTGTGGATGAAGTGCGTGCGCACGCGGACGGGATTGAATTCGATGCGGCCGGAGCTGTTGGCGCAACCGTCTCGCGAGCAGCCGCACGGGAAGCCCTGTCTATCTACCTGAAATACGAAAAAGTATCTGCGGAGTTAGCGGCGACTTCCCGTTCGAAAGAGTCGAGCAAAAGGCAAAGGAAAACTCACTTGACACTTGACGTTGGCTCTGCTGCAGGGACAGCTCTCTGGGTCGCAGTAACCCTTGCAAGCGCAGCCGCAGTGCTCTCTGCTGGCTCGAATGTCCCGGCACTCGTCCTTCTCGAACGAGTCTATCCTGCGTACACCCGCGGCCCTCAGCAGGGCCCGTCTCTGCCAAGTTGGCACCGGTTGCAGAAAGTAGTAGTTATCGATGTCAAGGTCTTCGGCGTCGCTCAGTTCGTCGTCGGTATCGTCGCTGGGGTCCTCGCTGCTCGAGGCCGTCTCGTTGTTGGCCGACTGGTGGCAGTTGGCTGCCAGGCGCTGGGCCCGCAACTGCGCCAGTCGGGCCTTGTGCAGTCGGCGCTGCTCCAGTGCGTGCTCCTGCAGCGAAAAGCGCTCCGCGTGCGTGTGCGTCGCGCTCATGCCCAGCGTACTGCCACCCTGCGTGTGTCCAAGTTCAATATTTCATAATCAACTCTTTTTCCCCGCCGTCGACCTCGTGCCGGCCAAATCATTTGATTGCTTTTCTTTTTTTGGCCGTGTGATTCGACCGAAACTGCATTTATTTTCGACGGCATGCCGTCACCGCGTGCGTACAGAAATTATTGTGACCGCGATCGAGCGCCACGTTAATTGTTTCGTAACGCCGCGGAAGCGAACAAAAACAAATGGAAAAATCCACGCGGAGGAGTTGCTTTGAAAAGGTTCATTTTTTGCAGCATAAATCTTTGCACGAGGCCAATTAATAAGTTGCGCAAGTTCGAATAAACGCTTTGATATGTGTGGCATACCTGTGAAGGCACGCAGGTGAAGCCTTGAGCCCTGGGAAAGTAGTACACCGTGACCGCATCGAACTGAATGTTGCGCTTCTTCTTGAGGGTCCCCGTGGAATCGTCGACGTTGAGCCTCTTTGTGCCTGGCTCGTCGGCCTCCTCGAGGCAATCCGTCAATCGCCGCTTCAAGCTACTCTTCGCTGGCGCCCGAAGTATCGGCATCAACGGTACCGCCCTTGGTACGTTATCTACAAATCCATCCAGTTCGCTTACTGCTGCAAAATCAATATCATCCAACTCTATTAGCAAAGGACGCATATGCTTCAGCTCAATAACTCAGTCAGCTATGTTTCTCCGCTTTTCATCGGAGCGATCGTCAAATGTCTTTACGAAATGATATAAACTGGTTCGACGTTTAACGCTTGATCGAGCATCAATAAACTAAACGTCCATCGATTTCGGTTTTCTCGTACACCATTTTCAAAAATACGTCGTGTTCCACAGCGATAAAATTCACGACTAATAAAGTAGCAAACCTAAAATCCTTTGAAGCATTCTTTAAAACTTACAGACGTGAAATTTTCATGCTGAGAATTTTGAGTGATGGATGCATTATTATTATTATATTATTCGGTCAAGCAAGACTACGATGTGTCGAGCAAGACGTAATGAGAGAAAAAGAGAGGGAGAGAGAAAGAAAAAGGTAAGTATTCGCGTGCTGATAATCGATGCGCGAACAATCGATAACACTGGTGTCGACGCGCGACGCTAGTCAATTTTCAAGCTTTCTGCTTTACAATGAAAACTCACGTTGCTGATTTTTTTTTCTTAACAGTGAATGTGTGCTCCAATGAGACTCGTGAAAATCCAATAACGAAAAATCATGGTAATAGAGCGTATAAACGAGCATCTATACCATCAGCATTATGGAAAATGATATTAGGAATGAGTATGCTGCCTGACAGCTGATAGTCTTTATGGAGATTCAGAGACGCATAATAAGCTCTCTGTGTAAAGATTTGGTTGAAGAAATCTGACTTTTGCGCGTTATAAGTAGTGCTACTAAGTATGGCATATTCGATTCAATACGAAGGACGACAATGTACCGGAAACGACATTCTGCATAGCCGTGAATAAAGAATCAGGACCCGCAAATAAATGTCAAGCAATTGAACGTGTATCGTAAGAAACACTTTTGCACCTCGCAATATCTTGAATACACTTTCGAATATCGAAATTGAAGCATTTTCATCGTCAGTTTTGACGTTAAGTTGGATGCGTTCGATTGCTCGCTCAGTCGACTGGATAAGCCAAGGCAGCGAGAAGACGAAAGAAACTTACGCTTGTCCTTATCAGACAGGATGTCATCAGGTATCCTGTCGAGGAAAGAAGTCTCGGAATCGCTCTCGTGCTGGGGGGCCGAGGCGCAATGGTCGCCGGGCATCTCGCTGCCCAGGCCGGAGTCACTGCCGTCGGAGCGCACCTCGTCGCGACTACCCTGGGCCAGCGCCAGGCTTTCGGCGGAGTCCTCGGTGAAGGCCTCGGGCGGGTCCTGCTCGAGCCTGGTCATGATGGCCTGAGCGAGGCCGTCCTCGCAGCCGACGTGGCTGGCGACCCCGGCGGCCGCCGCGGCCATCGAGGCCAGCACCTCCGACGAGCTGTCGCTGCCCGTCTCCATCAGTTCGTTCTCCTCGACGTCTGCGCCGAACACGGGCGGCGGCGAACTCACGCGGCAGGCCGCCCGGCCCGGCTGCACCGGCGACGAGAACTCGATCTCGTCGCCGATGCGCAACTTCTCCACCAGCACCTTCGAGCTCGTCGCGCCGGCTTGTCGGCTGGGGCTCGTCGGCGAGGGCAGGCTGCACCGCTCGAGCACGACATTCGAGCCGAACGGACACCTCGGCGGCGCTGGCGAGTTCGCGCTCGTCCTCGCGGCCGCCTCGGAGTACTTGGCACCGGCGGCGCCCGACTCGGCGTCGCACTCGTCTGCCACGCCGGCGAACAGTGCCAGCTCCTCGTCGTTCGCGCCGCCACCTTTTGCGCAGTCCGAGGGGACCTTGTCGCTACTCATCGTCGTACTGTAAGCGGCACTGTTGGGCGACAGCGGCATCAGAGTGTCCACTCGCGACAGCCGCACCACCAGCTCGCGGCTCAGTCCCGCACTCAGTCTCGCCGCCAGCACCGATTTGTCAGCACTCGCGGAAGCGTCCGTCGTCGGCTCCGAGTCCGCGTAGCTCGGTTCGGCGTCCAGCCGGTCGGCGGAGCTCAGCGGCTCCGAGGTCAGTCGGATCTCACCGAGGGTCCGCTCGTGCTGACTCACGTGCACCGGCGACAGCCTTCGCACGTCGTTCTTCAATTGCTGGGCTTTCTCCTCGGACACCTCAGCGCCTATAGGTTGAAAATCTGAGGCCGAGCCGCTGTTCGCCAGTGCCGTTGGCCTTCTCCTCGGCGACGCTGGCGACAGTGCCTCTTCTGCGCTGTTCGTCGGTTCCTGAGCACTTGTGGCAGTATCTAACCTACTGTTGGAGGGCAGAAGCAACAGATAATTGTTATTTTCTCGTCGGATGGTCTGTAAACGATGAACGCGGAAATTTGATCTACGAGTTGGAATTTTAAGGAAATCTCGGTCACTCGCTTATCATCCGTTTTAATTAATTTAAAAATTTGCAAATATTCTGCATGTGGTTTCATTTTATTGTGCTCTAATAACGTTAGACTTGGAATTAAACAAACGATGACGCGAGTTCACACTTTACTTTAATTTAACAGTTAATAATACGCGGTGTATCAGTGAAAAACCAAGTCAATGTCCAATTCGATTGTAATTATTTCTAGGTAAGTATGGATTTGTTTGAACTAACTTTTTATTTGTAGTATAAGTATTTGCATTCTTTTTTACTACAAAACTTCTGTTGTACATCTGTAGACTGCTTGGAATAAAGTTGGATAATATAACAGAGAAATATATGAAACAATACGTGGAAGATCGATATCAATTCAAATTCATGAAAATGTTTGACGACAAAAGAATAACGACATATAGTCGAAATCAATGAATAATTAAATGAACGCTATATTTCTTGTTTATATTTTCATTAGCTCTGAACTGCAAAATATCAAGATAATAGTTATGCATTAATCATACGAACATATTTTTGTAGAAGAGCGTAACAACGTCACCATGTAACAGATTTAGAAGTTGGCAATAAAGAAGCAGAAAGAAATAGTCAGCAAAATATGAGAAAAATCTTATTTCTATTGTTTAACACTGTGCGCTTATAGAAGTTGTCATTGTTTCATCAAAATTTCGTGAAAATATACGTGACTAGTCGAATAGTTGGAGAAAGGCTAAAATTTTAGTTGATAAACGATACGCAGGCGTTTCCGACAGTGTCGGAAAAATAAAGGAGATTCTCAAGGCGATGAGACGCGTGTGAAAACAGGAAAGAATAATAAGAGTGTATCCGATGGTAGCTGGCTGTCGATGATCTTCAAAAGAAATAAAAACCAAGTGGCACGTACCTTACATCTTCTTCGGATGAGCTCCTAGAAGCTAAGCTACCCATGTCTTGCAGAGGCAGTTGGTTGTCCAGTCGGCAGGTCGGCGACGAGTCAAAGTCCGTAGCAGCACTCGGCGCGGTTAGCTCTCCGAGATCGTCGTGGCCGTCGTGGTCGTCATCGAGGAAAGCGAAAGCGCCATTAGCGACATCCTGGACACGAATCACTTGCTGCTGGAATCGCTCGCTGAATTGCAGCTCGGCGCTGCAGACATCCACCTCAAGTAGTGCCTCCACTGAGCTGGAATCCTCCTGGGCCTCGGGGGGAAGCTGCTGGCCCGAAGGCGGTTCCATCTCGAGCTGAGTTCACCTCTGCAACAGTCGTGAAAAGCGTTCGATCAGGATCAGCAATGAGTCGGAGGTGGGAAAAGCGAAGCGGTGGGTAGCCGATCGGTCGGGGGCTAAGCAAATCAATACGACGGAAAGTGGCGCGCAGCTTCATGATCGCGGAATTAATCATCGGGATCTTGGGGAGCGAGCGTGGGCCGACGGAAAAGCGCCAAGCACTGGCTTCGATAAATCAAACTAATCAGCGAGCGCAGAGAGCAGCAAACAAACGAAATATATCTTGGGCCGAGGCGATAGCTCGCATGTATCTGCGCGCGAGATAAGACTCTCTCGAGGAAGGAGAGGAGGAGAGCATCTAGTACTATTATTCGCGCCGCCGCCGTCGCCGCCGCCGTCGCCGCCGCTGCAGACCACCGCGTCGAGAGGACGAGTTCCTCGACTCTCGCGTATATCTCGCAAATATCACATACACACAGCGAGCAAAGGACGAGGACGGAGGGGATCAATAAGCCGCGCTCTTGGTACCGGCTAGGCGCACTTTACCCTCTCTCGCTCTCTGCCTCCCACTCGCTGCCTATCCTCTGCCTGTGTACGTGAGCCGGGCTGTCCGCGAGGAGAGAAATCGCCACTTATTTTCCGCGAGAGAGCTGAACGATGCATGATCGATGTGCGCCCGCGCCCGCGTTTGTTTTTGCGTGCACGTTTTCGCGCGCGCGCTCTCTCGCTACTTACACGCACCTCGCGGCGGGACAATCCCCCCCCCCCCCCCACGCTTCGCTGCCTCGCTCGCCGACGGGAAAGCATAAAAGTCGCCGTGCACGCGGAAGTTGCTTTGTCGTGGAAAATCACTTTATGCCTATCGATTACTCTCTACGCACCGCCTGAGATTACGCTTATTCCCTTCTCTCTTCAGTGCCTCATCGCGCCACCGCCGCTGCTGCTGCTGCTGCTACGTCAATTGTTGATAGTGCACGCATTGCCGCTGCCGTATCATTATCACTGTGCAAATACCAATCAATTAATTTTTATACGGATCCAAGATATATTACCAGCGAGAAGCGAGCGTGTAGAGCTGCAATCACGTTAATGTCATTTTCTTTTTCGCATCCATCGCGATGCAAGAAAAATGGCGAGCAACTTTTGTTTTTCTCGCGGTATTTTTAAACAGCGGCTCGATAAGTCGTACGGCAATTTCTCACTTTCACTTTTAAGTGTAAAACTCGTTCAAAGGAAAATGACGCCGTAAAAAAAAAAAATAACGACGCTACAACACGATACTTTTCACTGGATGCCAGTAAACAGAAACCGAAATGCACCACTAAACAAGCTGGTCTATCAATTATGAGGTACAAAGCGAGAAGCGAGAGCGTCGATGACAAATATCTGGGAAGACGCGGTCTCCAACGAGTATACGCACACGTACACTCGCGGAAGAGCGGCAGAAGGGGAGAGAAGCTTTTAGTCTCGGCGAGGATTTATCGGGGCGATTGAATCGGCGCGCGATGCGTTTCGAAAGATGTTCGGAGCATACACTGCAATATACCCGATAATAGTTGCGGATGATAGTCACACACTGCACTGATAAGCACCACGCTTCAATTGCACGTATACCTTGCGAACGTAAGGTGGCAGGAACTGCCTTAAAAGTCCCAGAGCGGAGAGGCTGGAAAATCGAAGGATGTCGCGAGACAGGTAGCAGCAGTAGGGCCGCGATCGCACTTGCCGGCAGTACTGCTGAAATATTGGCGTTGGCTGCACATGGTCGGAAGAAGGGCCCGGCAGATGAGAGCGCGTCGCCTTTCTCCTTGAGCGGCTACAGCAGAGCGCCCGCGAGCGAACGAACGGAGCCGGAGGAGGAACGAACGAGCTACGTTCTGCGTCTGGCCTGCTCACCGGTTCGCGGCGGAATGAAGAGTCGGTCGTCTGCGCGCTCTCTCTCTCTCTCTCTCTCTCTCTCTCTCTCTCTCTCTCTCGGCGCCGCGCGTTGCTGGCAGTAGCTCTGGCGGCGGACGCGCACGCTGCTCTGCTGCTGCTTTGTCCTTCTCGCGCTACGCTCTCTCTCTCTCTCTCTCTCTCTCTCTCTCTCTCTCTCTCTCTCTCTCTCTTTCTCGTCGACTCTGGCAGAGCGAACGAGAGAGAAAACCAAGCCAGGCCCCTACTACTACTACTACTACTACGACGACTACAACTACACTACTACTGCCACAACTACAACTACTAGCCTGTGCTTTGCTCGGGCATCTCTCCTTCCTCTCGTTCTATCTCGGTTACTTTTCGCCGCATATTTTTCTCTCCCCATCGCACGCGCGTTAGGATTCTTCGGTTTTCGGGCGCTTCGTCTATATATGAGCTAAAGTTTTAGGCGCAATCCGCTGCCGAACTGGATGCGTCTAGCTACCCCTTTTCATTGCCCTTTATTCTGCGCACCGTACACAGGCGATTTACGCAACGCGCGCCGTGCTTGCTTCCGAATTTCTGTTTATCCCTCCTCTTCTTGTACCTACGCACCGCCCGCCAGACTGTTCACTCGCTCATACCCCTTATTATCTCCCCATATGTCGACAATATATTCCTCGCGTGCGCTTCCTCTCTCCTCTACACTTGCTACGCTGCTTCTTTTTTTCGCCTTTTCGTTCGTTTGCCTTCCTTTCCACTTTACGATTATTAATCTGAATCTCTCTCTCTCTCTCTCTGCTGATACTCTCGCTCGCTCGCTCGAGTCTTTTGTCTTCGTTCTCTTCAATTATTTTTACTCGCGTGCCACGCTTTCGCTCTCTCGCTCGCTCTCTCTCTCTCTCTCTCTCTCTCTCTCTCTCTCTCTCTCTCTCGCTGCATATGTAACCATACCAAGAAACATACATGCCATACGGCCCTCATCGTCGTCATAATATATTATACGAATGAGTCATTGGAAAAAAATGTATTTTTTCTCGGAACGGTGCAGTGAAAATAGCGAAGAGACGCGCACAAGTTCAAACCAAGATCAGCTATGCATTGTGTCTTCGGAAGCGAGTCGATCCGACGAAACGAGCGGCACCTCTCTCGACACGGCGCCCATTAACTTTTCATGCGTCTCACCTCCGACCACGATCGAGTTCTAAATAATGCGACTTGGCTTTGACCGCAATACATTCCGACAATTTTCCGAGACACATAATCCTCTCTCGGTCCGACCGCCGAAATTGCGTATATAAATTCGAGCTTTTCCTTTTCATCTCTCGTCGCTGGCACGACGGAGAAAGAGCTTTTCGGATTGGAAGGTGGGAGGGCGGCGAAGAAACGTCTAGCGGTCGGTCGCTCGGTGAAGTGCTCGATCGCCCGAGCGCGGAAAGCTGTTGCTCCGGGCGTCTCGCGCGCGACCGCGTCCAAAAAGCTCCGCGACTGCCTGCTACCGCCCGATTGCACGCGCGCGCCTCCCCCTCTGACATTTCGCGCTCGGCCAACTCGCTCTCCCGACGCGTCGCGAGCGATGTCCCTGCGTGCGTACGAAAGGCGAACCGCGGAGAGCACGCCAGCATCTCTGCCCTCGCGGCCGTCGCTGCACTCGCACGCGTGCGCCCAGTCGCCGAGCGAACGAGCGAGCGAGTCGCGCGCGCTGCCTCCAGCTCCACCCCCGCCGCAGCGCCGGTTCAACGAACGAGCGCACCGCCAGCGCGGCGCCTGCGCGCCGCCGCACGGCGACCGAGCTTGCTCTCTCCCTGCAATACCCGATGAGCGATTGTCAAAAGTATAACGGCTCACTCTCTCTCATCTGCTCGCCCCTCCCCATGCCGCTGCCGCCGGTTTCCTTTGTTTTCCTTACTTTTTCCTCGCTCGCGCGTTATGCATCAGCTGCATACTGCCCGCGCGAATTTTCCGGTTTCAGCTTCGAGCTGCCTGTCTGGGTGAGTGTGCCGTGCGAGCGTAGTCGGCAGCTTGTGCGAGGACTGCGCCGAATTTTCGAATCGATTTCCGCTCGCTCTCTTGGTCTACGATACGGTTGCCAGAGCTAGAGAGAGAGAGAGAGAAAGGCGAACCCGCTAACAACGATGCCGTGATTTCCCACAGCTTCGAGCCCATCAATATGTACCTTACTTTTGCTTCACTTACGCGATATTTGCATTGAAGCTGTCGCGCGCGCGCGCGCTGCGATTGATAAGCTCGCGGTGAGTGGTTTTATCCGTGGTGGGAACAGAGAAGGAACGCGACACGAAGGACGCGCGATAACAAGACCTCAGTTTCGTGTCTTTTTCTTTTTCCAAGGATAACAACGCACACGCACTTTTTTCCGCGTGTTGTCCTTTGCTAACCTACAGACGAGGTCAGGGTTACCAGCACTGTTTACCGAAGCTTTACCGAAGCTGATTTGACGTAACCTGTGTCTTCAAATGGACACCAGTATTAATTCCACTCGCGTCTTGCGTAATTATTCGCCCTCGAGTATTATACCGACGTGGGCTCGTGTCGTCGTTTAGAAAGGCAGCTTTTGAGACGTTTCCACCGAAAACGTTTTTTTCACTAAATGGATCATCGTGTCACCGAGCTTTGAGCTATATACATTACTCAATAGGTAAATATGTGACTGTGTGATAGGTAGTTTTTTCAGAGTTTGCACAATATTTCGAACAGCGTTTCAACTTTGCTTGCTTTTTAATTGAGTTTTTATTCACTTACAATTATTGATTTGACCGAAATGAAATTCAATTGAAAGTTTCGGTCGAGTCTGTTTCGTGAAATGATGAATAACTAAATACATGCTTACAATAATGGGATTAAAACATCATGAACTCTTCAGCTACTTCATGAGATGCTTGATCAATGTTAATCATCATATACTTGTCGATAAAATGGGATTTATCCCCTGAAAAGTACTTAAAATTTCAACGGCTTTCTCTTTCTCACTTTGCTAGCCTTGTGATGTCTTATTTCCCATGCGACTTAATGAACTTGTAAATGCAATAAATCCAGCAGAATTTTTACAGCATATTATTAATCTGATTTAGAATAGAATAGATTTAGATAGACTCTCATTTACATAAAATAAT